AAAAAAAAAAAAAAAAAAAAAAGAAGAAGAATAATTAAAATACTAAGAAAAGACTTCAAATATACAGACTACAGTCAGGGCCTGCAGGAATTGAAGAAACTAAATTCTCAACACCTTATATTTAAGTACATAATTTCATTGTCAACAGAGATAAAACAGCTTAACCTTTTCATTAAGTACTTTAGTCACTAATGAGATGGCTGGCTTTTTCTGGACAAAACACTCTTCAAGGACACATTTCTTAAAAAAGGAGTTCCGTGAGTTGTAATGGTGATAACACCAAAACGTAACCTGAGAGGGAAATTAAATCAAGACTCTTTGATGTTAGCTGGCTGGGTAGAAACTAAAAGGCCTTAAGGCAGGCAGAAAAAAGTGAAAGTATTTTAATTATCAACTAGAAAAGACTCTCCCGCCTTTGAGCACAACCTGAGTAAGAATATTTTACTCTTTATAACCCAGAAATGCGTACATGAGGACCGGCCTACGTTTACCACGTCCCTCTGTGGGTCTCTCTCACATGCATTAGCTCACACTAACATTCTCTATTCTACTCAAGTCCAAAGTAAAACATTCCACGCAACAGCGCTGGTAGCTGCTCGCTAAACTGATTTCACAACTCATCACGGGACCAGCAGTTTGAAGGATGTCGAGCGCAGGGGTTACCACCGGGACAAGTTAGGAACTTCTTGTCCCATAGTCTCAAAATTTCCGGTGAAAGCAAAAGAGCGAAGAGGAAGAAAGCAATAAGGCGTCTGTTTCTGAAAAGGTGGCAGGGACGCTGGACCCAGGACCAGAGGACTAGTCAGGGTCTCGTCCTGCCTGCGCCTCCACCACCTGTGTAAGACGTCTTGTCTGCGCCAGCTGCCTTCCGGCCTCCGCGAGGAAGGGTCCCGGCATGTTCTCAAAGGTGAATGCCAGAATTCCACCATACAAGGCCAAAATTAACTCAGAGAGAATTTAGTCTCGTCACAACACCCATCAGGCAGACATAAAATGCAACAGCCAGGAGTTCAATTACATCGATTGAATTTTCCGGATCCTGGTGGGGCAAAAGACAGCCTCGACAGCTGGACGGTCCGCCCCCAAGACGCGCTCGCCGGCACCGCCGCTGCCCAGAGGCCGAACGCAGAGGTGGCCTGGGCCCCGCTCAAAGGGGACTGGACTTGTCCCCTGACCCAAAAGCACAGCGGGGCGTGCAGGAGCCAGCCCCTGCACCTCATTTCTGCCCATCTTCTGCCGGCCTCCGCTCGCTCTGCTGAGACACCAGCGCTCAGGCGGCCCAGACCGGAGCGCCGTGAGGTACGTGCACGTGAACGACTCAGAGGGGACGCGGCCCTGCAACCCCTGAGACCTGCGCCACCTGCCGCAGGGGCGAAACCCAGCCCGCCCGGGTCAAGCAGCCGGCCTGGGAACTGGGGGCGGGGACAGGAAAGGTGCAAGGACGGGGGCCTGGAGGGCAGAAAGCAGCGTTACCATGCCGCCGAGCACCGAGTCCTGGTCGTCGGTGAGCAGCAGCACCACGTTGGGCCTCCGCGAGCCTGCCGCCCCCCTGGGCACCCCCAGGCAGCCACCCAGCAGCAGCAGCAGCAGCAGCAGCGGCGGCGGCGCGGGGCTCCCCGGGGGCCCGCCGGGGGTCACGGGCAGGAGCCGCATGGCTGACCGGGCTGCGAGCCCGGGACGGGCGGAGGGACGCGCAGGCGGCGGACGGCGCGATGCGGACGAGCCACCGGGGTGACGGTGCGGCGGAGGCCGGGCCCGGGTCAGGCGTTTTCTGTCTGGGCGCGGTCACGTGAGCCGGGGCAGGGGCGGGGCACGTGGGCAGTCACATGACGGGAGGGGCGGGGCCCGGGCTGTGGCCGGAAAGGGGAGGGGAGTCGGGGACCCGGGGACCGTGCGGTGGGGATCATGAGGTCCGGGGCAAGGGGAAGGCGGGCGGCGGATGCTGAGCGAGGAAGAGGAAGGGCAGGGGCCGCGACCCTGCGGACGGGGGGACCGGGCTGAGCTCCGCCCTCCGCCGCGCTTGTCCCCGGGGCGCGGCGCGTGCTCCGGGCCTGGTGTTCCCGCGGCCTGGGGGGGAGCCAGGGCCTCGGGGCCCTGCGAGTGCCACCTTTAGTTTTCTCTCCGATTTGTGAGGCAGGTGCTGACTTTCTCACTCGGCTCAGCCACGGAATTTGGGGCTGGCCGGCTCTGCACTCCGTAGCCAGGAGCCTGAGGGTGCCCTGCTGTCTTCAGCCTACGTCATGGTTTCAGAGGAACGACTTAGGAATGTCCTGACACCTTCACTCTAATATTCCTTGGTGATATTTTAGTTTTTGATTTAGTCTGTCGCCCTGGGTTGAGTGCCCTGGCATCATCATAGTTCCCCTCGAATTCTTGGGCTTGAGGAGTCCTGCTTCAGCCTCCAGAGTAGCTGGAACTACAGGCTTTTGCCACAGCACCTGGCTAGGATTTTTTTTTTTTTTTTTTTTTTTGCAGTTTTTGGCCAGGTCTGGGTTTGAACCCGCCACCTCCGGCTTATGGGGCCAGCACCCTACTCCTTTGAGCCACAGAGGACGGGGTCTTGCTCTTGCTCAGACTGGTCTAGAACCAGGGATCCACTGCCTCAGACTCCCAGAACGCTAGGCCCTGTTGGTGACTTTAAAGGCCCTCTGGGAAGATGTTGGAGGATGTGCCCATTGAGCAAAAGCCTTGATACAGGGTCATGCAACCACAGTTTTAAATCTTTAGGGGGGAAAAGTCCATGAAACCAGGAGCTCCAAATATATCTGTGGTTGCTGAGGAACCAGTCTGCATTGCCCCTCTGTTGAGATCTGTAAAAAACAACCCCCCAGGCGAGGTGAACAGCAAGTAGCTCATGTCCCCAACTACGACAGGTGCACCCACGCGGTACTACCTGTATTGCGTCTAACCTGCTGTCTGCCAAGAAGAGCTTTTTTTTTTTTTTT